CTGACTGTGCTGGTGCAGAAAAGGTCAGGGGGTCACTGATGTCAGTAGGATTCATCCTCTGGGGATCATAAATGTCTGTGCAAAAATCCATCAAAGAGTTGTCGAGATATTTCAGTCTGGATCAAACAACAGACCAACATTTACTCAGCAAAAACAAGACGGGGGGATGCCTGGATGAATACAATATTCGGGCCTATTCAGTATATCTGAATAAAGTCTTTATCATATTATACAGTCAACACACGTTCTAGTTTCTGACTCTGCAGTTAACCTTTCCCTATTCTTTAAGATACGAACTGGATACTGTAAAAAATAGAAACACAGTGAGACACGCAAGCCTGGAGCAAAAGGGAACAATATCTCTGTATATAATGCTCAGAGTAGTAATAAGAAACATTTATCAAACACCACATGACCAGATCCAGACTGTATACTGTATTTGGACCTAGCCTGGACTGAATGAGCCCATTGACAGAGAGAAATGTGGTTGAATGTCCTCATTTAGCTACAGTACAGTAGGATACAGTGTATTTGAAATAACACACACACACGCTGGTACCACAGCCATGCTGACTGCTAGAGGCACTGCAGTATATGTCCCAACAACATCAGTGTTATTTTATAACATTATAAGGCAACATTATTATAATTATGAGTTTAAAAATACATATGAGGTGTGTTCTGTACCATGTAATACGGTAGTTTGTTGGGAAACTGCTTGACATTCACTTCTTGTTTTCTTTGATCTAGAAACGTACTTGGTTGTATGATCTGCTCTTCTAATTGAGTCCATTCCTGTGGTAATGCACAGAAAACTGTTTAGCTGCTTCAGATGAAAAGCTTTTTTATCAGCAAAACACTGGAGGGCTTTTTTAGCAGCCACAGGTATTGTTGACATGTTTGGTTAGTGACCCTATGTAACCTACTTCTCTGATCAAATCGGATGTACATCAAAATATAGACATGTTTTTGTTAAATTGTTTTGAAGCAGGAATGGAATGAAAAATATGCAGCCACCTGGTAAGATAAAGAAGAACAGATCTTGTTGGTGTATGGACTCTTGGTACTTTTATAGCTCATTATCATTATATTATGATATTTGTGTTTCAAACTAAATTGCCGCTCTGGGACGTTCAATCCAAAAAATCTTTTTGGTGTGTCGAGAAGAATTCAAGTGGACCTATCATGCTATATTTGAATAATATATTGTAGGGCCATACCTATATAAGGTATATTTATACGTTTTCGTTTTCAAAATACCAAACAGATCATGCATTTTAGCCAAGCCTCATTTCGCTCTATTTTGCTTTCCTCCACCCTGTCTTTGCATGCGCTGCAGCTGACCACGCCCCCCTACAAAGGAGGGGGCCGAGTTACGAGCGTTGTGTTCCCATGCTGTTCCCATGCTGTTACCATGCCACGGCAACCTCTCATTCCCCTGATAGGTCAGCTCCGCCGTCCTGACGTCAGAGGAATGTTCAAATCTGGATCAGTTTTTATCAGATCCGTTGCAGCCCCGTTTTTAGAGATTTGGGTATGGAGGAAAATAGAGAGGGTTGTGTTTTCTGACACTTGGTGAGTTCCCTGGAACACCGGGGACACATATTCATGTATAAAAGACGTACAAAAGTGCATTTTGCATGATAGGTCCCCTTTAAGTTGCAGCAACATTTTCTGACATGACCGCAGCAACACACCGGTTTGAGCAGGCCAATCTTTTTCAACGCCAGCTAAAGACACATCTTTTTAGATTAGCTTTTTATTAGCAACCCCCCACTTTAAATGTTCTTTTAGTCTTTATTATATACCTACCTTTATATTGTTTTATAGGTCTTAATCTTTTTATTTTGTATTTCTGTTGTACCTATATGTTCACTTTGTTTTATGGGGTTATACATTTTATATTTGATATTGTTGCATCGACTCAGTTGTCTTGTGTCTTACCTGTCAGAGAGAATTTCTTGTTTTTAACTTGTGATGTCATTTTGTAAAGCACTTTGAGCTGCATGTGTTGTATGAAAAGTGCTATATAAATAAATCTTTATTATAATATGGGAGAGCAGAGGAACTTTTACAAGCCTTATAGTATACATCTGTTTTTGTTCTTATCAAAACTAAAATAAATGAACAATTGGTAGCCCACTATGTAAGCACTAAGAGCTGCAGCTCACCCGGTGCCTTGCCACCCCATACTTCTTCGTGGATGGCCATTGTGAATACGAATGTGAATGTCAAAGCAAATATGCAAGGTGGACTGACTGAGTAGGCAATGAAGAGCCCTCTGGTTGCTCTACATCTCCTGTTTGTTTTGCCACTGGCCTTGGAAGAGTACTTGAGTGGCCTCCTGTTCTCAAGTAGCCCTGCCTTGAGATTTAATCATCTTTTGTCATGCAAACATTTGATTTTGTCGAACAAGGAGACTCTCTCTGTGTTGTCTTCCTGTTGTGCAGGGTTCTATATTCAATACAATAAGGCTTTCACTAAATGCGTCTCTGTTTGACTGGGTACTGAGACACATTTAGTTATTTAATTGAAATAAAAAATGAAAATGTAATTGTGTGATTGTAGCCTTGGACACAAGATAATCAAACAATTTAGGAGTCACAAATCAAAAAGAGATAGAAGAATTTGTTTTTGCTTCTTTAAGACAGCATAGGTAAGACTCTAAAGCAAGGTGTCATTAAAGTAAAGGATCGTGTGATTTCCTTCTTATGGGAGCCACAAACTACACAACAACTTTGATACATTTGGAACAAAAACCTTTCCACCGTCTGTAGTCTTAATTACTTGAAAAATAAATAATATCTCAAAGGATTTTCACCTGGTTATATGAAGGTAAAAAAAATGTCATTTCTAAATCAGCTGACCAGAGAATGCCCACTGCATATCTCGCCTACTCGGATTAAATAAACAATGTCAGTCTTTCCACGTGGTTGTTTTTGAACAAATGCATTCTTCTAATGTTTCTATGTGACGCTGCAAAACACAGCAACATTGTTCATGATAGCCTGAATGGTCAGCATGATTTAATAGTTTATGAGGAGACAGTCACTGTGAGCTACCGAGCAGACTGTGAACAAACACCGATACATATACAGTAGTAGCTACAGGATATCTCATGTGACTTACAACAGAGCAGATCCAAAGAATTGTAAATAAAAGGATATGAAAGCTCAGTGTTGCAATGTCATGGTCACATCTGACTTTTCTGCTGCCAAATGACAGTATCCAGTCAAAACAAGTCCTGTCATTAAAAGAAAGGTTACATAACTGACCCAAAGTTAAACAAAAACCACTTACACATAACTAATCAAATTAAGTGGCAGCTCCTTTAATATTTGGGGCCAAAATGAGAGAGCATGCTGCGTCAGAGAAATAGCAAAAGACAGAGAACAGAGCGGCTGCGTTTCCTTCAGTGAATGCCAGGAGGATGCAGGGGGCAGAGTGTTACAGATCACTCATTGATGTATAGCAATCACACTGACCTATCCAAATGCCAAAGACATTGACATTCAACTCCACCAATCAACAGAAAAAAAAATGTTCTCTTGATATAGCTACTACTATGAAATGGCTAAGGGAGTCGTACACATGCAAATGATTGGAATGTATTGATTAGAAAAGACAAATCGGGAGGCCGCTAAGGGGCAGCTAATGAGGCAGACAGATCTATAATGAGCGCTTAACACTTAATGATAGGGCCAGTAAAAGTTCTTTTTTGTCAACACACCGGTAACTGTTCCCCCCCCCCCCCCAAAAGCCACAAGGGGCAACAATGATCCCATTCTATACTTGAAAACAAACCTCAAAGAGCAACAGAAAGGTGGGTTTTATGCTTTATGAGATCTTATTACAAGAATAAGACTAACTGATTGTATTGGCATATGAAGGTTTAGATGATTGTCCCATCTCAGGTCACCATACAGCGCTGTCCCCCACACAGTAAATGAGACCCTCACAAACAGAAGTTATGCCACAAAGCAAATGCTAGCGTAACACCATAAAAGCTAACTCCCAACTTAACAAGCTTAGTCCGCTTGCAATCACAGCAGGATCACAACACTGGTAACAGCCTAAATCCAGTTGACCCTCTGGAAGTCGCTGTACTCAGCTAGCTAAAGACAATGCTGAGGTGCATATCAAGCATATCAATGTAACAATGTATGCATTATCAATATCATGATTACCAGTCCAGAAAATCTTCAGGAAACTTCTTAGGGAAATTCTTGCTAAACTAGTTATATGACAAACAAAGTGTTTCCAAAGTTTCTGCAAACGCTTCCTAGCATCACTGCTCATAATGCATGTGTATTCATTTCCCTGCACACACACATTTGGGACGTAACAACTGTGGCCACTGCGCAACAATCCGCCCCCCTCAACACAGCCCAACTTATCTATAAGAACAGTCTGCACTTGAGGTTAGCTAAAGGTATTTCAGACTTTCAGACTCAAACACACGCACACAAAAATATAGGTACAACAAACTAAAGGCAGTCAGGCATGCAGTTGCATTGGGACACCTGTTCACCTTTGGGTCACTAAAAAGCTCTTTGCTGACAGCGTGTCTGAAGTGGGCTACATAGCAACACTGGAGACACAAGTACCTACTGTCAACATTCACATCCATCGTACCTTCAGCTCTGTCTAAGTAAGACTTTCCCTCTAACCTGCACCATTCCTTCTTTCTCTCTCTGTTGTTTATCTACAGATAATGCCTTGCCATTACTGTACAGAACATACCCCTAAATGATTCATTTTCAAGCAGAAACAGCAGTCTGCTAAGGTCCATTCAATGAAAGAAAGCCCCGAAAATGACATCTGAGACATACAAAAAAAAAACCTGTTATCATAAACATGATAGCATTCCCGAGCAAACGGCACAGACACAGAATCTGCGCAGTCATCAAACAGGAAGACAGAAACACACACTCACATGAGAACAGTGTGTTGTACAGAGGTTAAGTTGTTCTACATGTTATAAGGATATATATTCTTACCCTCCATAGGCTCCAAAAGTGAAACTCCTCTTTCTCTGCGGCATGCCGGCTAATGGATAGCGGTGAGTCAGTCAACTCAGAGCTGAATGGAGCCAGCACTTGTGTCACTTACGCTGACTGAGCATGTGAGCATGTGTGTGTGTGTGTGTGTGTATGTGTGAACGTGTGTGTTGTTATGCTTTGCCTGCTGTCTGGGTTCCACTCCCGCAGCCTCGGCTATCGTGCCCTGCCTCTTCCTTGCTCCCACGCCTCCTCCTTCACAAGCAGGGGGAGAAACAGCAAGAGGATGAGGGGGGGGGGGGGGGGGGGGGGGCTGCTGCTGACCATGCCAGTCTCCCAGGGAACCAGGAGTGAAGTTGCAGCCTTTTTTCACACACAGCTACATCCTCTCTCTAATGTGTTTACATCACTGAGAACCAAAAAGCAGGTTTTTTTTTATATTCTAAATAAACTGTAATACCTGAAACCAGACTACACAGATGGCGCAACGTCAAAACAAATACTAGACAGTTACTTGATTCTTTTCTTTTTTTTTTTTTAAATGGCTCCAGGCAAAAACAGATAGGAGTTCTTGGCATTGTAAGAGTTTGCTGCCTTAGAACAAGTCTTGCAACACTCCCTCTCTGTGTCCCTTCAGCTGGTTAAACAAGCTAGACATCAAACAGTTTATCATTCATCACAAATGTCCTAATTGCAGGGCCTTGCCCAACATCCACTCCTGCATACTGTAGGTGACGACCTCAGTGAACACGTTTATAATCTGTTCATCCATCTCTCTCTGAATTCTTTGTTTTTTAAGCCAATTGCCTCTCACAAAATGTAGCACAGAGTAGGGCTGTGCAATTAATCGTATTTTAATCGCAATTACGATTTTGGCCTGCCACAATTACGAAAACAACATAATCGAAAAAAACGATTATTTTGCTTTGCTAGGTTGTGACAGTGCACTGCAACATATTTGATCAAATGTATTTGTATTTATCATATTTATATATGTTTAGTAGCTTGTTGAAGTGCGCTCCAAAGTATTTGTTGATCTTGTTTATTGGTATTTATTATTTTGATATTATTTATTTAAATGTGGATATAAATGTATCATTTATTTAATTTATTTTTGTATTGGTTTTTCAGTTGAATTATACGCTCAGGGAAATCAACAGTTAAAAAGACACTGTTCAAATTATTATTTGTATTTAAAAGTTCAATAAATGGATGTTTTCAAAGTCAATGAATAATCGTATTTAATAATCGTGATATCAATTATTGACCAAAATAATCGTGATTATGATTTTTGCCATAATCGCACAGCCCTAGCACAGAGTTGTCCTGCTTTATTGCCAGCCGCATTGATAGAATTGAGTACATGTCTGGACACAGAGAGCCTTCTATAGCAGGCTGATGAGTTTGATAAAGTGACAACATTAAGGCTGCCATGGATTATTGAATAAAGAGGAATAGCAGTCTGGAGCATCAGCCAGCTATCTGATAAACGTTCACTTCCCAAACATTTGCACTATGTCGGATGAGACACACTCCGTGTTACTCAGGACAGAGTAAGATGTGTCGGATGGGTAAAGCAACGTTTTCAAGTGCCTCTAAATCATGAATAAATACAATCTCATGATCCATGATTTAATCTCCCCAAGGACCAATGATGTCCTCATCACATTAACTGCAAAACACTCATAGTTACCGAGCACTTAGTTAATTAATGCGCCCACCAAATAAGCACCATCATGCTGATACAGAGTTACGTCATTTCTCCAGTACCTCCTCCGTCCTATGAGACTGCAGTTTTCTAATTACTATTCACCACAGAACCACAGTCCTTGGATGACCTTTCTTTGGTCATGGACCTCACTTTGTCTCTTGTCCTTGTTGTCTTTTATCTGACCAGACTGCTCTTTAGTGTACAGAGACTTCATCGATCATAGTGATTATTGATTTAAATTACATTCTTTACGATTTGTTTTTATCCATACACTGGGCTCTAGGTATGCACATGTCTGTCCTTTAGTCTGTAACATTATTTGAGAGAATTCAAGAATCCATAGGGTGAATAAACACGAGTCAGCGCAGACATTCTTGTTCCCAGAGGACGAAGCCTACTGACTTTGGTGATCGCTGACTGTTCCTCTATTGATACCATGAGGTTGAAATGTTTGGTTTTGAGTTAATTGTCTCAACAACTATTGCGTTCATATTCATGCATAAAAAGGGTAGTAAAAAAACAATTACAATTGTAAATACAACTCTGTGCTAGGGCTGTGCGATTATGGCAAAAATCATAATCACGATTATTAAATACGATTATTCATTGACTTTGAAAACATCCATTTATTGAACTTTAAAACAAATACAAATAATAATTTGAACAGTATCTTATAACTGTTGATTAACCTGAACGTATAATTCAACTGAAAAACTTTAAATGAATAATATCAAATATAATAAATACCAATAAACAAGATCAACAAATATTTCGGAGCGCACTTCCAAAAGCTACTTATCATATATAAAAATATGATAAATACAAATAAATTAGACCAAAATTAATTAGATCAAATATGTTGCACTGTCACAACCTAGCAAAGCAAAATAATTGTTTAATTTGATTATGTTGTTTTCGTAATTGTGGCAGGCCAAAATCGTAATTGCGATTAAAATACGATTAATTGCACAGCCCTAATTCTGTATGAAGTTGCCACTTTTGTAATTGTGAACATGTTTTAGTTAAAAAAAACAATAGTTTCTACCTTATCCAACATGAGACGAAAGCAGACCAGCAGCTCAGTTACTTTCAACTGAAACCACTTGTTTTTATCCAAAAAAAAGCCATCTGATCTTTCTTTCATCGTTGGCACAGCGACTGCCCGACTTTATTTGAGTGCCACTCTATCGATTCAATGCCTCGGTCTTGGGTGCTAGCTCCAATCCTGTCTGTCTGCTTCTCCAACAATTCAATTAGCTAAAGCAGTTGTGGCGTGTGTGCGAGGCATCTGAATGGCTGCAGCCCAGAAAGAGGCCTTTAATCACATCACCTCAGGAAAATGCCCTCTCTATGCTCCTCTGTTGTCTCAAAGGAAGTGGACAGGAGGCAGGAAGACCCTTAAGAGGACAAAATAAATGGAGATCTCTCCCTGATATCCACATTGTCAGACCCCCAGAAACTACTGATACTGCAACACCAACAAAACACAGACAAAAACAAACAGTTATTCCTCTGTCCCAGTTATATACATGCTATCATTTCTACAGGTGTAAACATATGCCTCCTCCTACTTGAATCTGTGTGTGGGCAGCTATACCATCCCATGAACTTATTAGTTTATTTCCAGTGTAGAAAAGGGTAGCAGCAAACGTAGTCAAATGTAGAGGCAGTTGGAGAGTTGGTGTAAAACAAGGAGAAAGGAGTGGAAAGAAACGAGGCAAAGAACTTCATTTACCCCATTTTGCTTTCATGGGGCAGGAAATGTGCTTCTGAGCGAATACATGTGCGTTATGGCTGCACGACATATCGTGTCGTGACGATAATCGCGATATGCGCATGCGCGATATTCACATCGCAGGACGTGCAAAATTGACGTGCGATATTAAGTAGGCAAATTAACTGAAACACGTCATGTTACAATTATTTTGCTGCTTGCTACAAAAGGAAAACTCGCGCAGCTCTCATGTCAGGGGTACTTGAGTGAGTGACATGCAGGCTCACAGCAAACCACCAATCACAATCAAATATCCAAAGCAAATGAACCCGGTGATTAAAAGGTTAAAAACACTGAATAAAGTCGTTTCATGTGTTTCTCCAGGGCAGTTCGGCGCTGCTAATCGAGCTAGCTCAGCTTGCTCTGATAACTTAAGATCCAGACGTCCGTGACTAAAATCCTTCATCCGGTTAAATATATTTAAAACAATACCAATTGTATAGCATTAAAGTTCAAGAAAGGATGGTTTGCGGACAAAAAAAACGGTCTTTTCTTCAATTCCTGTATTTTTTCATATCGCAATATATATATCGCAGGGGGGGAAAATCGCAATGTCAGTTTTTTCCAATATCGTGCAGCCCTAATGTGCGTAGAGCCTGTCTACAGAGAAGCAGACACTGATTAAACAGGCAGTGTTGGCAAAGTCATTGTTAAGGAGGTGCATCGTAATTCATCATAAAGTTGTTTTTTAAATGAAATCACATCTTATGGGTCGGAGGTTAAGTGTGTTTAAGGCTGGAAAAACATCATAAATCAACTGCGATACAAAGCAATTGGAGGTGCAGGGCAAAGTATGGCTCTGCTGGCTCAACAAAAGCATTATTTGAATACAAAACAATTCAGCTTCATGCTCTGTTTATTCTCATTAATATTACATTGTTGTCTACCTAGCCACTTACTGGTTTCAATGCAGGGCAAATAACATCAATACAAATGATTCTGTTGGAGGTTTAGGGCACTCTCTACTAAAACTTATTAAGCAGAGAGAAATCATTTAGTTTTGGAGCATAAGCTCTTTTGTCAGAATATTGCTATATGCTCAAACCACTATTAAAAATAGCACCCAATCTTTTAAATTATCAACTTTGTATCTAATAGAGGTTATTGTAGGTATATCCAGGCTGAAGAGGCTGATGTTTTAGTTTGGAGAGGTCCTCTACCCCAAAAGAAAGTATATACTCAGCTGGTGAAAAGCCCCTTAACGAACCGAGTAACTCCACAGTATTTGAACTCCATCGTCATGAACGCACTGCCTATGGCTTGTGTATGTATTCTAAATATTTTCCACATCCTCAGCTGAACAAGGGCTACACATACACTTGTATTTGGAGAGGGTGAGTTTGCAGAAAAAGGGGTGCCATGCAAATATTTGAAGGGAGCGCATAATCAAAGGGCAATTGTGCTTCAAAGCATGAGGAAATAAGCCGAGCCTTATCTCCGCAAGTATTTCATTTCCATTACAATTCTTGAAAAGTTCAGGAGCTGGCTGAGTGCGCATGTCTGAAGGCACGGCAGATGTTATTACTCAAAGCTATGTGTTCATTG